TAGCAACAGCAATCCTATCTCATCAGCCAAAAGCAGACCCACACTTCCCACTGAAATACCAATAAGTTTATATTTGTTAAAATTGTTCTTCATTTTGATGATTGTATTGTTTTTAAGTGTTTTTTGCACTACAAATAAGATATGTGCCGTGTGCATAGGAATCCATTCATGTTTTTTTTCCAAATTATAATCCGGCCCTCCAACAGTTTGAGGGACTGTGACCTGGCCCTCTGTTTAAAAAGTTTGAGGACCCCTAATCTTGCCATTGTCTAAGGCACGATGTAGTAGGTATAGTTATAGCTCCAAGAACCTTTTCTATCTAGAGTGGATTTCTTTTATCTTTAATAAACATATTATTTTTGATCCTATGAGTTGTGGATCTGCAATCCTGTTCCATCCTGTTGAATGGAAGTCAGTCCTTGCTCACTAAACATAAGTTTCTGCTGCTTATGAACTCTGCATCCTGCACTCTACTATATTTTTGGTGGAATCATGCACAGTGAGGGTTATTTTTGAGCCTAACAGCTCCTGATTCCCAACACACAGTCAGGAAGTTCTTCCTAATATTCAGGTGGAATCACCTTTCCTGGAGTTTGAAGCCATTGTTCTGCATCCTAGTCTTCAGGGCAGCAGAAAACAAGCTTGCTCCCTCCTCCCTATGACTTCCCTTCACATATTTATTCATGGCCCTCATCATGTCTCATCTCAGTGTTCTATTCTGAAGGCTAAACATGCCCAGCTCTTTAAGCCGCTCCTCATAGGGCTTGTTCTCCAGACCCTAGATCATGAGAAACAAGGCAGTGCTTCTTAAAGTATTTGATGTGGTGAACTGGCAGTTGTGTCCATGGACCACTACTTTGAACTGCGTGGAGGAAGGAAGGAGAGTGCCAACATCATTTCCAAGCATTTTCCACCTGAGGCAGTCGACTCACACTGCTTAATAATAGAGCGAACCAAGCTAAAAACAGCATGGTACACTTTGTTGATGTTGGATGCCCTCAAGTCATTTCTGACTTATGGCGATCCTATCCTGGGGTGATCTTGGTTAGAATTGTGCATAGCGACTTGTCATTGCCTTCCTCCGTGGCTAAGAGAATGTGACTTGTTCAGTGGGTTTCCATGGCCAAGTGGTATTTGAGCAATCATCCCCCAGAGTCAAAGACCAATACTCACAGCTCTAGACCACGCTGCTTCTTCCTTGACACAGTAGGCTATTACATTTACAATTATCTAAAGCTGAGAAAACAGTAACACATTTAAAGCCATGGATAAGACAGTTTCTGAAATAGACTCACCCTGTTAAGGCGAGATCATATCCATGCTTATTAAGGATGTAATTCATCACTAATTTTCTTCTTGAAGAAAGCAATGAGCAATTTTAGCCATTTTCTTCCTGCTGGGATAAATTCTTTGAAAACCACACAGTTTTGGAAACCTATTTGCAATTTGGAACTTATTACCAACGCTTGTGATATTACCAGGGGCTATGACACCATCGATTTGGACCTTGAAATCTCAGGTCTTGAAATAGTCCTGACCTGCCAAACCTTGTAATGAGCAGCAACTAACCTTACTTTTTTTAAAAAAAAAAACCCAGTGGTAGTACATTGGCTTTCACAATCACATTTCCAAACTCAGTGTGTGAAAACACAGTTAAGAAGTAGACATTTCCAAATCCAGCTATAATCTGCATTTTTTGTCAGCCTTTCTAACACCTGCTGAATTCAGATATGCATCCAACTGGGGGAGAAATCGCAGACAGCAGCGGAATGGTCAGTGTTATCACATTGGCAATTACAACCAGAATCCCTTTAAGCCAGTTTTTTAATTGGAGGGGAGGAGGGAGGAAAGAGAGAAGGAAACACATTTTTGATGAAGCTGAAAAGTCAGCAAGGTTTTTGTTTTCCCCAAACTCTTTTATTGCTCTCTGAAGGCAGGTTATTTTTAGGCATGCTGGTATGCCCTTTGTTTTTCCAGCAAGAATAAACTACTAGCATAGTAAAGGTAAAGGTTTTCCCCTGACATTAAGTCCAGTCATGTCCGACTCTGGGGATTGGTGCTCATCTCCATTTCTAAGCCAAAGAGCCAGCATTGACCGTAGACACCTCCATGGTCATGTGGTCGGCATGACTGCATGGAGCACCGTTACCTTCCCGCTGGAGTGATTCCTATTGATCTACTCATATTTGCATGTATTCAAACTGCTAGGTTAGCAGAAGCTAATAGCAGGAGCTCATGCCGTTCTCTGGATTCGAACCTGCGACATTTTGGTCAGGAAGTTCAGCAGCTCAGCGGCTCAACCAACTGCACCACTGGGGGCTCCAACTACTAGCGTAGGAGCATCCTATAACTAGAGGAGATAAAATTTGGAGAAAGAGGAAGAAGGTGATGAAGAAGGAGTTTTACAGCTCCCCATATTCAGGGCACATGTTGAGAAGATAATCCTTCTTCCTTCCATAATAATAATAATAATAATCATCATCATCATCTTTATTTATACCCCACCACCATCTCCCCAAAGGGTACTTGGGGTGGCTTACATGAGGCCGAGGCCAATAATGTAACTACAATAAAATGAATACAAAACAGCAAAAATAACAACGCAATAAAATAAGGCAATAACATAAGTGAACATAAGAACAAAACAGAGCAGTGCAAGATACAGTAACAAACACACACAATGGGAGGACCAGATGCACACATAAAGTGATAAAACCCTGGATGAGATGACAATGAAAAAGATGTATTTGTAAGGGAGGAGCGTGTGGAGGACGAACAGTGGAGTCAGGCCTTAGAAAAAGGTGAGGGGAAGGACAGTATGAGGACACCTTGAGGGAGAAGACAACAGGAAATAAATATGTGGTCATTCTCCAAAGGCACACCGGAAGAGCCAAGTTTTTAGATTCTTCTTAAAGGCTGCTAGGGTGGGGGCTTGCCTAATCTCACCAGGCATTGAGTTCTACAGTTGGGGGGCCACAGCAGACAAGGCTCTCTCCCTTGTACCCACAAGTCGTACATGTGATGGAGGAAGGGGCGAAAGGAGGGCCTCCCCTGAAGATTGAAGAGGTCGTGCGGGTTTATGGAAGGAGATGTGAGTAGCTAGAGATAGAATTAGGCTGAGGGGTTCTTCCTCCTCTTCCCATTCCTATGCATGTTTCCCAAAAGGGATTTGTCTTCCTCCTTGCCACTGTCTCCTCCCATTTGATGCTGTAGCATTGGAATTCTGTGAGGGAACTTCTTTTTAAAAGGTATTTTTATTGCCCTGGGCTGGCCATATAGCCTTTTCGCCATTTTCCCATCTTTTCTGTTTTTCTTTCTACCTGTGAGGATGCTAATACCTACGAGGTAACGGCATTCCATGAAGTCATGCCAGCCACATGACCTTGGAAGTGTCTATGGACAACGCCGGCTCTTCGGCTTAGAAATGGAGATGAGCACCACACCACAGAGTCAGACCTGACTGGACTTAATGTCAGGGGACAACCTTTACATTTACCTATGAGGATGCACATTTTGCCTTTCTCCAAGCCAGTGGTTCCCAACCTTTTTTTGACCAGGGACTACTTTGACCAGGGACCACTCTCCAACATTAGTACCAAATAAGTTTTTGGTCAACTTTAGTTTTGGTTCGAGGTGCTGATTCAGAATATTTCATTGGATAGACCATATCAGCTCCAGTTTCTGATACAGAACATATGTCGTGGTCAGCAACAGGCTGGTGGCATGTAAGAAGTGGAAATGAAATGAAATGAAATGAAATAAATAAATAAATAAAGAAGAAAGAGGCCTGCAAACCAGATTTTCATCCTTGTGGCCCACCGGTGGTTTGCAGTCCACAAGTTAAGAACCACTGCTCTAGGCAAAATGTAGCTGCATGGACTTTTTACCCTTTAACCTCTTTAGAAGATGAGATTTAGTAAGCTACTTAGCTCCAAGAACTTTTTAAAATCAAGAATGTATTTCTTTTACTTCGATAAATATTTTTGAACCTAAACTTCTGAGTCTGTAACCCTGATCCATCCTAAAATATAGAAGCTTGTCCCAGCTCATCACGTGTAAGTTTCTGCTGGTTATGAAGTTTACTTCTGGTACTCTGCTATATTTATGGTGGAATCACCCCATCTGAGGGTTATTTTGAGGCTAACAGCTCAGATTCCCCAACATGCATGGGCCCTTCCTTCCTTCCTTCCTTCCTTCCTTCCTTCCTTCCTTCCTTCCTTCCTTCCTTCCTTCCTTCCTTGACTGAATTACCCCTGCATTATGCAGACAAGTTGGTTGCTGCAGGCAATAGATGCTGAGATTCATTAGCAAGGTTCTAAGAGAAGAGCTGTGACCCAAACTGTCTGTCCTGCTCACTGTGCCCCAAGGCTTCAGGTGTGGTGGATTTTCACTCATCACCAGTGTTTAATAAAAAAAAGGCTACATCTGCCAGTCCATTTGGCTTTTATACAAGGAATGAACAGGTGTCACCATGTTCTTTGCCTTGGGTGGCAAAAATTGTTACAATGCTTTCTTTGGGCTTGGTGAACCACACGTCATGCAGCCCTGCTTGAACTTTGGTCCTTTGTATGTGCTGTGTTTCATTTTCCAGGATTGTTAAACTTCAGTCATGCTAGCTAGGATGTCTGGGAGTTGAATTTCAAAATATCTGAAGATCTAAAATTTGAGCACCATATTTTGAGCTCTACTTTCCTCTTTGCAGTATTAGCACAACAGGAAAAGCAGCACCTGTCAATTTCTTTAAAAGATAGCAGAAACTTGCCACACGTCAAATTTGGCACGTATGGCAATACAGGCCTCCTCGCCCCAGCATTTTTGTTCATTAGGCATGGCTGGAAGGGAGGAGAGAGAGGAATGTACGTCATATTATATTCCACTGACTTTTTTGGACCAACATGCCCTCCCCCATAACTGCAGCTCAAAGCTTCCCGTATATCAACACGGTCACACTTCATTGTGCAGCGAAGAAAGAAGCCCCGGCGCCAATTTCCCAGACTCACCCAGCAGTGACAATAGCCAGCCAGTCAGGGCAGAAGAGAGACAAGTGTAGGGATGCCAGGACGCCATGCGAGGGCTGATTCAGTGGAGACAAGACAGAGGTGAGATGTGGACCACTCTGCACTGGGGACGACTCTCTCCAGAGCACTTCTGGGAAGGGCCTTCTGGTGTTGCCGGAAGACAGGTGCCACCAGGTAGCGGAAGCAGCAAGAAACCCAATGCCCAGAGGCGTGATCCGATCCTCCCCCGGGGAATAATGACAAAAAGAGCTCAATTATTTAAGTTATGCAGCCAGGAAAACCTGTTGAGCTGTTTTAGGAGAGGAGGAGCGTAACAGTGTAGCTGTCCGGTTGACTGTTTTCACAAGCAGAGGGTGGAATTGACTGGCACAGGTTGGTGGGGCAAGGAGGAACTTTGTGCGGAGTGTCTCTGACAAAGAAAGGGAGAGACAGCTCTGAATTCTGCTTCCTAAACAGGCTGCAGACAGACACTGCTCTTACTCATTTACTTAACTTATTTTGGTTATTTAATTTTGCTAAATTAAAATATAAAGCTCATTCTTTTTAAAAATATATATATTTTATTAAAGTTTTCAATAACAATAAAAGAGGGGGAACATATGTGCGGTATAGGAAAGTAGGAAAATAGGGTGGTTGAAAGAAGGTGATGGCATGGGGTAGGAAATGTGGTAAAAGGGGGGGGGGGTTGGGTACTATGGTATTTTGGAGGGGGTCGGTAAGAGTGGGGAAGGGTCCACTTTTAAGGATTATAATCTCCAGAATCCTACAAACAGGAATCCAACAGTAACTTTTGAAAAGGTAAACACGAGGAAGGTATATAAGAGTACCAACTTCCTGCTAATAGAAGAGCCCTCTATATTGTTGCTCAGATCAGTGTCCCGTAATTGTTGTTTGATTGTTGTTGTTTATTTGTTCAGTCACTTCTGACTCTTCGTGACCTCATGCACCAACGCACGCCAGAGCTCCCTGTAAGCCATGGCACACCCAGCTCTTTCAAAGTCAAGCCAGTCACTTCAAGGATAGCATCCATCCAACTTGTCCTTGGTCAGCCCCTCTTCCTTTTTCCTACCATTCACCCCAGAATCATTATCTACCTGGTGGCACCTGTCTAAGCTCTCCTATCTTTTCATTATGTGGCCAAAGTACTTCATCTTTGCCTCTAATATCCTTGCCTCCAGTGAGCAGGGAAGTATGGACTGGTTGGATCTTTTTGCAGTCCAAGGCACTCTCAGAATTTTCCTCCAGCACCACAATCCAAAAGCATCTATTTTCCTTCTCTCAGCCTTCCTTATGGTCCAGCTTTCACATTCATAAGTTGTTATGGGGAGTGCCATTGCTTTAACTATGTGGATCTTCATTGCCAGTGTGATGTCTCTACTCTTCACTATTTTATCGAGATTGGTCATTGTTCTCCAAAAAAGTAAACGTCTTCTGATTTCCTGACTGCAGTTTGCGTCTGCCGTAATTTTCACACTTAGAAATACAAAGTCTGTCACTGCCTCCATGTTTTCTTCCTCTATTTGCCAGTTATCAATCAGTCTGCTTGCCATAATCTTGGTTTGTTGTTGTTTTTTGTTTAACTGCAACACAGCTTTTGCACTTTCTTCTTTCACCTTGGTTACAAGACTTCACACCTTGGTTACGAGGCATTGCTGTTGTTGTTGTTGCTGTTGTTGTGTGCCTTCAAGTCATTTATGATTTATGGACACCCTATCTAAGATGTCCACAGATTTTTCTGGGGCCAAGCTCATTTAGTGGGTTTCCAGTATTAAGTATGGAATTGAACCCTGATTTCCAGAGCTGTAGTCCAACACTCAAACCATTACACCAACATTATAGTGTGCTCAATATATTGAGGAGGAATGCACAATTTAGAAGAGGCTGCAGTAGTTTGCTATGGCCCGAGCCTAGAGAGAAGAGTAGGACTCCTCTTCCTCTCTTACAGACTTGATTGCAAACTACTTCAGCACTTTGAATTTAGTTTACATTAACTGAAGCAAGTGGAGGACAAAAGGGGAAAGTCAAAAGAGGAACCTGGACATTTTGAGACTATTCTTGCCAGATCTGAACAGTTGCCTCTGTGATGTGTTAGCAGCACACACAATCCATAGCAATCCAATGCCTCCAATGCAAAAATGTAGAATGATCTCTCCCCAGTAGATGCTGATTGCAAAGAGCAGAGGAAAGGCTTATCTCTAGAGATACAGCAAGCACTGTTTATGCGTAGATGGTGTCTGTCTACTATGAGGAAGCATCCTGAATTCATGTAAGGCATTAAACATATTTAATCTATCTCTTATGTGTCGTGGCACCCTATGTCCTTTTTTAGCATCATGCTAGCAAATACCAATCCAGAATCTGAAATAGCAGGCAAGATTCCTAATAGCAAATATAGGAAAGAATAAAGTTGCCTGGATTTTATCACTTGTTTTGAGACAGCAGGTTGAGGAGAGCCTTCACACTGAGCTGCCAATCAGATTTTTATGTCTGTCAACTTGTCTGTCCATTCATCCATCCATCCGGCTCCTCATGCTTCCTTGCCTTCAGATCTATGTGAACTCCTTTCCACTGACTAAGTTCTCGCAACCTTTTAGGCCCTTTCATGACATTCATTTCATGACAAGCCAAACAGCCGGACGTTGACATCGACACAACATACCTCCTTTCTCTTCTGTCTCTGTATTGTCTATCCAAAACGGCATTGAATGTTTGCCATGTATGTGTCATGTAATCCGCTCTGAGTCCTCTTGGGGAGATAGGGTGGAATATAAATAAAGTGTTATTATTACTATTATTATTATTATTGACTAGGTTCTCACCAACCTGGTCAATAGATGTCATGAAAGGGCCAAAAAAGGTCATGACCGGCACACTGAATTGTGTTCAGAACTGTTGCAACAAGGGACTCCTGTACTCCCTATAGTCAGCGCCATGCTTATTCTCTCCACCACTCCATGCCTGGCAAAACCAAGAACTGTCCATCACTTAAAATGTTGCATAATTTATGCCCTACACAGGATTAAGAACACAGAGTTTACACAGCCCTGCTAGTGACCTGCTACTTGGGGTCACCGTCAGGGTGAATCCATTTCTCATTTCTTATTTATTTAGTGCTTTTTCATCCAGAAAGAGCATATGCAAAATCAAGAGACGATTGGGGTTTTTCCAAGTTCTCTTACTAGTGTTAATGTGCTGGAGGGTATTCATTTCCACTCCTAGACAGAGATTAGAAAAGACGGAAATTAAGGACAATTCTTCTCAGAATTCCACAGCTAGCATGGCCACTAAATGAGAGATTGTGGGAACTGTATTAGAATGTTTTTCCAAGATTACTACCACTTCTTCCCACTTTAGTGCCCAACTAGTGGCAATTGCAGATTTGTCTGGCTTTTGAGCCCTGGTTTATCCCAGTGTTTCTCAACTTGGGGGTCAGGACCCTTGTGGGGGTCACTAGGGAGGTTTCAGAGCGGTCGCCAAAACCATCAGAAAACATATTATTTCTGATGGCAGAGAAGACTGAAGATCTCTCCACCTGTCCTTCTCTCCCTTTTTGGAATCAGATGGCAAATCCTCCCACCAACAGCCCTCCTCCGCTGTGATTGGCCAGGCTCTCAGCCAAGGAGGTGGATGTTTCTGGGGCTCCAAATGGGGAGGGGAGAGCAGGCGTGCTCCATGCATGGCAGCGTGGTATACGGGCAAGGGAGAGTGAGCAAGACTGGAAGGAGGCTTGTGCCAGCAAGTCCCTTCAAGGTTCTGTGTGGAAAGTTTGACCCAATTCTGTTATTGGTGGGGGATAAGAATGCTCTTTGATTGTAGGTGAATTATAAATCCCAGCAACTACAACTCCCAAATGTCAGTCTGTTTCTCCCAAACTCTACCTGTGTTCACATTTGGGCATATTCATCAACTTGGATTCATGCCAAGTTTGGCTCAGATCTATAATTGTTTGAGTCCTCAGTGCTCTCTGGGTGTAGGCAAACTACAACCGCAAAACCCAACGTCAGTGCCCAACAAACTCTTCCAGTATTTTGTTGGTTATGGGAGTTCTGTGTGCCAAGATTGGTTCAATTTATTTATTTACTGTATTTGTATACCGCCTTTCTCAGCCAGTCGGCGACTCAAGGCAGTTTCAATTCCATCGTTGGTGGAGTTCAGAATGCCCTTTGATTATAGGTGAACTATAAATCCCAGCAACTACAACTCCTAAATGACAAAGTCAATCCCCCCCCCCCAACCTGTTTTCAAATCTGGGTGTATCAGGTATTTGTGCCAAATTTGGTCCAGTGAATGAAAATATATCCTGCATATCAGATACTGTGTTTACATTAGGACTCATAACAGTAGCAAAATTACTGTTATGAAGTAGCAACAAAAAAAATTATGGTTGGGGGTCAGCACAACATGAGGAACTATATTAAGGGTTGCAGCATTAAGGTTGAGTAACACTGGTTTATCCCAATCTCTTGAAAGCAAACAATTGGTTTAAGTGCTGATTCTATATTGGGAAAGGGGAACGAGTCTAGGACACTGAATTAGCCTTGCAGAACTTGGTGAGCTATAACCCACTCCCACCCAAAATAAAATTGCTCCCTTTTATCTCGATTGTAGCAGGAGGCAATACGCTACTGCAGAGTTTTACAGAGACTGAATAGAGAACTCTCCCAAAAAACCCCTCCAAGCATGTGACTGAAGCTGATAGCAAACAACCTTCCAGATGTGGATCTCCAAGCAAGAATACGAAAGAGGCAAGCAATGTGTGGAAAGAAAATGCCCATAAATCCTGTACTGCAAGAGTTTGCCTTCCCTAATTCTTCCAATATTTGATAGCTTTAGTATACTCAGGAATTTAAGATTCGTCTCTTTTGTACTAAGTCTATACTTTTTGGTGCATTCTCTTATTTCAGTTTTATTTAGGGGATAAAAGGTACATTCTCAGCATATTCGAGGGTCTTACTAGGTCATTAAAAAAAACATAAACATAAGACAGTCCCTGGAAGTCCATTTTTTTAAAGATCCCTTTTGGGCAGATATTGACTCATGGGCCTCAAAACATGGTCTGCAAAATATTTTGTTTGCATTTTCTAACCCTACAAGTGTGGTGTATGAAGACCCCCAGACATGGTGGAAATCCCAGCTAAAGATGTGTTGGACCATTTTTTTTTTACAGGGCAGCAGGAGCTGGAGGCCACAGACTGAGTGGCTTTTTGCCCACCCCTGTATCACGTCAGCTTTCCTAACATGTTCATAGTACAGTAGTCTTGGGCCGACAGAATCTCGGATAAGCAAAAATGTTGGATAAGGAGGGATTAAGGAAAAGCCTATTCAACGTCAAATTAAATTACGATTTTGCAAATTAAGCACAAAAACATCATGTTTTACAGTTCAATACACAGTAACTTTATGTAGTAATTACTGTATTTACGAATTTAGCACCAAAACATTGCAATGTATTGAAACAGCTGTGGATCCGACAGGATGCAGACTGTGTTGGATAATACAGAATGTTGGGTGAGCTAAGGTTGGATAAGCAAGACTCTACTGTACATTTTGAATGATGTTGCCATACAATTCCCCTCACAGAAAATTAGATTCAGGGAAAACAGTTCTAGCCTGGTTCCTTTTCCAACTTACCCATATTTGCTAACACAGAATTCCACCTCCATCGTGGAAAAGACGTATTTTCCCAAAAATAAGACAAGATCTTATATTAATTTTTGCTCCAAAAGATGCATTAAAGCTTATTTTCAAAGGATGTCATTTTTTTTTTCATGGATCAAGTGCACATATTATTCAAGCATTGTCTGAACTTCAATTGCTCATTAGGGAATAAGTCTCAAGTTCATCTGCTTACATAGGCATTTACCTACTGTCCAAAGTAACCTACTTGGGTATTTACAAATATTTAAAATAAATTATAAAAATTATAATTAAGTATTAATGTCAATAATATTTATTTATATGTGTGTTTTTGTCAGGAGTGACTTGAGAAACTTTAAGTCACTTCTGATGTGAGAGAATTTGGTCTGCAAGGACGTCGCCAAGGGGATGGACGGATGTTTTACCATCCTGTGGAAGGCTTCTCTCATGTCCCCATATAGAAGCTGGAGCTGACAGATGTAAGCTCACCCCACTCCTGGATTATTTTTAATATTATGATTCAAGATGTCCATCGTGTGTTGCAACAGATATACTACCAGTAAATGCATCAGTCTGAATGATGATCTTAACTGGGGCTTATTATAGGGGTAGGGCTTATATTATGAGCATCCTCAAAAATCATTCTAGGGCTTATTTTCTAGTTAGGTCTTACTTTTGGGGGAACAGGATACGTTTAATCCATAGTGGTACCATCAAATTTGAGTTTTACCACCTCTTACCTCACCTGCTGGCTGTGTGAACTATGCCTTTATCATGGTAATAGCTAGTAATTAAATATTAGGAGAACTATGCCATTCCCCAGTTATGATTATTTAAGGACCGTGTCCAGTAGCACCTCTGAGACTACTTTTAATATAGCATAAACTTTCAGATTGTGACCTCCTCCTTCATATGCCTGAACTGCTGGCAGCAAGCAATAGAAGGCAGCTCGCAGAATGTTCTTTAATACATATTTCTTTACAGAAGTGTTGACAGAGAGGGAAACAGAGCCCCACATCAGCTCCCCCTGTGAATGCCCAACAAGAACCTCATATTGGGCCTAAATGTACATTGCCTGTGACTCCTGAAGCAATTTAACAGAGAAAAGGTAGCCTCCAACTATGATTTGCAAAAGGAGATGAGCTGTTCAAGACACTACTTCTACAAAGCACGGCCCATTAAAGCAAAATATACCACTCGGGATGCCCAGGGCAAATCATTTACCGCAGGAGGAGTGAAGCAATTAATTGGGAATGCAAAGAAACAGCAGCAACATGACACTTGCTCGAAGCACCTCCAAAGATCACACGACATTTATTGCAAACCGACCCATCGTTAGTACAGAAAATAGAATTAAATTCTCATTCAGCTGTCTTTGGCGGGCAGCTGGGCTGGAAGGCAGCATGGTTACGATCCCAGGAGGACTGATCAGTTAGTTCTCCAAGAGGCAGGAAGATGGGCCTCGCGAGGCCAAAGCTCCCTCAACAGCGGCAGACCAGCAGCAGCTCCAAGGAAGGCTGAAAGGTAAAAAGAATGGGTCTTTTATGCCTCTTATATGAATAGCACCTGGCAGAGGAATGCCAGGTATAGGTTCTACTGTCACTGATTCACAAGGACACTAGAAGGTAAGCCCATAATTATAGGTATTTTATAATAAAAAGGAATGCTATACATTTGGGAGTTGGATTAGTAAAATGTTGAGTTCAGTCCCAGTTCAGGGTTATTACCGCTAATAACATTCTGGTTTGGTTCAGACACTGTATTTTTCAAACCATCTTAAATACATTTGAAACAGGCTAGAAACATGATCTCATAACTGCACTGCAAACTGCTAAAGAATATTTCTAACAATAGTAAACTAAGAAAAAAAGTATAGTCTTCTAGAAATGATGCTTGCACATACCAACCAATTTCACAACCTTCAAATTTTTTGTCAGTAGCCAAACATAGCTGACAAGATCAAATGTATTTCTATTTTCGGGTATTCTTTCAACATGAGCAGTGAAGCAGTCATGCTTTTTTGCTCTACACATAGACATACTATTATATATTCATTCCGTCTGAATACTACAGACAGACATGCACACACACACAGGCTGTAGTTCAACATATTAACTCATCTATGCATGAATAATTTGTCCCTTGTAAGAAAGGCAGCCATTATGTCATTACATGTTTGTTGGCCATGGTGGTCCATGCCTTAGTTACCTCCAGATTGGATTACTGTAATGCGCTCTATGTGGGGCTGCCTTTGAAGACAGCCCAGAAACTGCAGTTGGTACAAAGGTCAGCGGCCAGACTGTTAACTGGAGCGAATTACAGGAAGTGGTCAACCCACCTGTTAAAACAGCTCTATTTGCTGCTGATAAGCTTCCATCCCAATTCAAGGTGCAGGTAATTACCTACAAAGCCCTAAACGGTTCGGGTCCTGCCTATCTTCGTGAATGCATCTTCCCCTATGAACCTGTATGGGCTCTTAAGATCTTCTGGGAAGCTCTTATCTTGCTCCCGCCCCCATCACAAGCACGGCTGGTGGGGACAAGGGAGAGGGCCTTCTCAGTGGTGCCCCCCCCCCCCCCCCCCCCCCCCGCTCTGGAACTCTCTCCCCAGGGAGATCAGATTGGTGCCCACCCTATCTACTTTCTGTAAAGAACTAAAAACATGGATGTTCCGCCAGGGCTGATGTTCTTATTAATTTTGGGTCTGATGTCTTTATTAATTAGGCTCTTGTACAAGTATTAACTAAGCTCTTGTACAAGTATGTTGTACAGATACTTTTTCCTATGATAATATTAGCCACCTCACAACAGGAAGCTTTTTTCAGGAAAGAATGGGTTAAAATGGGGGATTGTTATTTTATGATGACTTTTTGTACAAGGCAGCTAGGAATGTAAATCAAGAGATATTTCTTAAAATAACATAAAAGAACTGTCTGTTTTGAGAACAAGCATCTACAATGGTCTCTTGATATCTGCTGTGGTTTGGTTCAAGGACGCCTTTTCATGGAAACAAAAATCCATGGATGCTCATGTCCCAAATATACAATTGTTGTTTATATAAAATAGCAAAATCAAGGTTTGCTTTTCAGATTTTTAAAAGATATTTTCAAGTTAAGAATGGGAGAATCTATGGATATGGAGGGCCGTTTCTACCTCTTTTTGTAAAGCCCTAGACCTATCTTGACTTTAAACTAGATCGTAATAAAATTCTAAAATGGGTTCAGAGGTTGGAGCAAGGGACAGAATTTTCCACCTTAAAGCACAACATGCCAGAAGACTTTGCCCAGTGAAATCTACAAAGTACATGGGAAAATAATGTGCTCTGCAGTCCTTTACAAATTCCATGGAGTAAGAAGAGAACACCTACAAAGCTACATGTATGTACATTTGCTTATCTTTCACACCTTTCATCATTTAGCATCTCTCAGAATTTATTATTAAAGCAGTAAAGACTACATAATATGACAGACTTAACACACATGTCCTCCTTACCAAAATGTCATGAGGGCTCATATTCGCCCACTCTCTTTGAGCTTTGCAACCAGATCATCCACTGTCTCCACCTTGACTCCAGCACTGCGCTGTGGAGGGTCCTCCACATTTAGAGTTTTCACTCGTGACGTAAGGTCCACACCAAGATCTGATGGTTTGACCACTTCAATCTTCTTCTTTTTAGCTTTCTGGGAGGGAAAGGGCAAGGAGAAAAACAGGACACACATGAAAAAACTGTTAGAACCAGGTTTATCATCAATCCTTGCTAAAAAAAATCAGCTTGATAATTCAAGGCTTCTGCGCAAATTTTTCTGTTGCGAGAAACCTATACTTCTAGCTCAGAGGAGTGCTTTACTGCCACCATGACTAACTGTGTCCTTTCATTGTGTTGTCGAAGGCTGGGTCAGGGCATACCATGATATTGGGTAAGGTGGCATAGCGTGGCTCATTGAGTCGTAGGTCAGCAGTCACCACCACAGGCAGCTTCAGGCGCACCGTTTCCAGCCCCCCATCAATTTCACGCTCGACCTTCAGCCAGTCCCCATCCACCGTTACTTCAGAGGCAAATGTCCCCTGTGCAAAAGGGAGAAAAAGGCTGCTAAGTTCAGAGTAGGACAAACATTACATATATGAATAAAAATACTGCAAACTAAAATTTTGTAAACAGATATGCTGAACACACATTTCAAAATTCACTGGCAGATTTGAAACAGCTGGAGTTAATTTACACTTCAGGAGATGGGATTATGAAGTGTGATACCCTGCCTTTTGCTCTTGGATAATGAAATGACTATTGACAGATCTCACTGCATAAATGTCACATTTGATGTGAAACTGGTGGAAAATCTGACATACAGGCAGTCCCCAAGTTATGAACAAGGCAGATTCTGTAGGTTTGCTCTTAAGCTGAATGTGTATGTAAATCAGAGCAGGTATGTAAGCCAGAATATTTTCAAGTGTAACTCGAACCAAATAGATGTATAGTTTGGCTTGGGTAGCATAGGGAAGGGTGAACAGCCCTGTGGTCTTTGTTTTGCTCTTTGTGGTCCTGCTCAAAAGATTTCACCTCACTTTCTGTCCCTGTGATAATTGGATTTTGAAAAAATTGGCTTCTTGTGCAAATAAGGAGTAGTGATAAAGCTTCAATGGAGACACATTTTTTTCACATGATAACTCTTCCAGATGTGAATTCCCCTTCATAGAGGCAGATTTCTCTCACTTCCTGATGTCTCAACAGTTCTTAACTATGAATACTTTGTAAGTCATATGTTTGTAACTTGGGGATTGCTTTTATTTAGGAACCAGGTGACCTCATGACTAGGCTATCCTGTCTGTTTAATGTAGTCACAACAGTACCAAAACAGCGGCATGCCATTCATCTCCATTATGGGGAAGCGTGGCAACTGCAACAGTGGAGCCAAGGTGACATGTGACCTCAGGGAACAGGCAGCTTGCCACTGAATCACTTGAAAACTGTGCATTTCATATACTCCTGGAACTATTGTCAAGCAGCCAGGAGTGTGTGCTCCATCTCTCTATTAGCTTGGCGACTTTGGGTTAATAAGATTTCAATGGGTCATTTCCCACCCAGCCACTCCAGAATTTCATCTGCACGTTAATTAGGTTATTAACTGGTGACCAAAACAGGAAAAAAAATCTAATAGAACCAAACAAAACAGACGGTTCATGTTATGTTATACCCTATGACAGTTAGACCAAAGGAGTCCTCTAAAATAAGGCAGAACAGTTTACTTCTATCAGGTAGATCATGCCAAAAATACACTAAAAATAACACAACTTTAAAGCCAATAGAATAACAGTACTTCACACTGAATGAAGAATTATACTATTTAATTCTATATTTCCTGCCTTTCTCCCAAAACTGTCTTACAATAAAAAAAAAACCAGTTACATGTATGAAAATAAACATTACTGTAGAATTAAACTAATCACAGCACAAAACAGTTTAGATATACACTAAAAAGACCAAAATGCAAATAAAAAGATGCAAAGTATTTTTTTTTAAAAAAAATACACGTCCCTTAACCCATTCCTTGGAAAATATTCTGTATTAAAAGCCTGTCAAAAGAAAAAGGGTTTTGTTTGCAGACAGAAGGAGGGAACTATGCTGCATAAAATTTTAATAATTTAAAATGTATTTTTAGATTTAGCTTGATTGTATTTTAATATTAGATGTGAAGTAATTGATTAGTTATGTTATTATTTAATTTTTGATTATGTGCTATAATTTTGTGTTATATGTGGATTTATTTCTAGGATTTGGTTGGGTTGTTTATTTGTTTTTGCTGGTTTCTTACAGCATTGAATGTTTGCTATTCTTTTATTGGAAACTGCCCTGAGTCCCCTCGGGGAAATAGGTACAGGATATAAATAAAGATGATGATGATGATAAAGATTATTATGCTAGCCTCCCCTGGAAAGATGTACCAGAGGCTAACAGCAGCCACCAAAAAGGCCCTCACATGTGGTGGAACAGAGAGATGGGCCTCTCCTGATGATCGCGGGGCCCATGGAGGGTAATATGAAGGGATATGGTCTTCCAGATAGTCTTAACCATCTTGCAATAAAACAGACCACAAATAAAACATATGCAAGATCTGTCTACCATTCAGTCATCTATATAGAAGTCCCCTGTACTCGTATACACTATCAAGCTTGAGGAATGAAGTTTTCTCACCCCTACCCACAATTTTCTGTTACTCATTCATCCAACATCCCTCCTAATTCTGCCACATGGTACCTGAGGCCAGTCAAGAAATGCTGCTGTCATTTGTCCTGTCTGGTTACAGTCATCGTCAATGGCCTGGAAAAGCAAACAAAATGGAAGTCATACAAAAGAACAAGGAAGTGCAATTATGTTCCAGTTTCCATAGCTGGACTCTTTCCCCACAAATAAATTCATGCCAGGATTGCATGCTCTGTGAGCAATTCCTACCACTCTGCACCTACTAGGTTTGGCCTAAGCAGACTGGATTTTTCAACAACTGCAACTGGAGGGTGTTGGACAGAATGGGCTGGTTATACTGAACACATTATCAGGGAAATGCACTGTCCGCTAAAGGAGAATGTGAGTTTGGTCTCTTGTTGATAAAAAAAATGCCTCCCTTGACCCCTTTGTTCTAAACTTGGTAAGTTTTCGGCACATGGAATAAGTACAGTAACCTTTCAGCAAGTACCAGCCCATAAAAGCCAGGATTATGCATCATTTAGATCCAAAAGCTATGGGTGATGTGGAGGTGACAGAAAATAATAATCTGAAGTTTAGCTATTACTTCTATCAACGACTTTCAAGCTTAGCAGGGCTGTCTGGTGTCCTCAATAAAAACTATTTGGATCAGCTTCCATCAGGGTATTTTGTGAGCAAATTGCTATTTGCAAACCAGACTTATAATCTCTTCAGCCTAAAACCTCTTTGATTTTGCTTTTCTTGACTTTGGCATAGCTATCCCCTGCATCCCTCTACTGAGTAAGGGATTCCCTGCCTCTATTGCCATGCTAACCTCCTCATACTGGAAACAAGAGTATCTATACATGACCCACTCAGCTCAACTGCAATCCTGAGTGACCTCAATCACTATCCCTGACCAGACTGATAATTATTCTACCCATTAAAAGGAAAATGCTGAGATTAGAATTTAACAAGATATCACCTTTGGCCTTTAATCATCTCCGAAAACTCAATGGCTTCCAAATTCCTCTTTCAATGAAGCCCCAGATTCAGAAAGAGATGAACATTGACAGTATAAATTGCACTCCATGCTGTAATGTTGTGTCTATGCAAAAAGACACACACACATACACACCCTTCAGTTTTGCTCACCTGTTTGCCAAGCAGCAGAAGGTTAACACCTTCCTTCTTGGCCAACGCAGCTAAGATCTTTGAAACCTGGAAGGGGCCAAGACTCTCATAATCCTTTGCAGGAATCTCCACATGTACCCCTCGGTCGGCCCCCATTGCAAGAGCTGTGCGGATTGTCTCCTAAGGGAACAATGATTGTTGAAAGAAACATTTTTTTCTTCCACACCTACAGAAGCTCAAACAAAGAAATCATGGTCCAATGCTACCATTGCACCCACAAAAGCTGTTTCCATAGGTGAAAGTATGGGGATGGATACCCTCCCAATGGTCCCCACATTTGAAAATCCTTAACAATTGCTCATGGGAGGAGGAATCCTCCAGATCAATTTTTCGTCTTAGAGGGCTACAGAAGGAGAAGCCAAAAATCTTAATAATGCTGTCATGTTGGATTTTGGCCAACTTTATTCTCTACTGCTTCTCAGACATCTCTCCTCTATCAGTATCTTTGTCACCATCAATTATTATTAATTAAAATATTTATACACTGCCCTGTATCATTTATATCCTGTCATATATCATGGGATCGTGGGGCAACATGCAAGTAAAATCAATTTAAGCAGTTTAAAACTACTTAAAATAATTTACGCAGACTGGAGACAAATTAACCAATTTAACAGGTTAAACAGAATGAGGCAATTTAAAACTATGTGCATACTTATTTAAGAGCAAATCAATTTAATAAAAAGCCTAGTACTGGAACATAACGACTGTTATCAGCACCTGAGCCTCCAAGGGGTTGTGAGACACTCCACAATCGGGGAGCCACAACTGAGAAGGCTGTCACCATAAGGAAGGCATATGCTCATACACCCTAGTGATCCCATGGGTGGAGCATAAATAGGGTCCCCTTCAGTAGACCTCAGTACTTGGGCAATCTGTCTGGCAGTTTCCGAATCCTCATATGTAAAAGGAGGGTCGTTTTCTTTCTTACAATTTGTCATATTGCATGCTTGGGCTAAAATTATCAAGCCAACACATATAGAGCAACCACATTTTATGAGGTGACAGTTCATGTCTTATCCAAAGTAACCTAGTTCATTTTGCACGTAAACAAGAACATGAATATATATCTCACCACATCATCACTATATCAGGATGCTTTAAGTTTTATATTAATACCTCAGAACATCTTAAAGACTATTCAATATCTGCGAGTTGCTATGACAAATTTATTCTGTCAAATTGTTTGTGGAGAGGTTTCACCAGAAAGCTGAAAGAGGGGAGGGGAGTAAAGACTATTTAGGGAATGTGAAGAATGTAATCTCAGGACCCAACCCCAATTCTTTCCCCTTAGGAATTGCACAGTGGAGTATCACAGACAGAAACGCAGTATATTTGCAGTATTAGCTGTATTTAGACCAATTCCTCCATCTCATTTCAGATCTATTTATTCAACTGCAAACCAAAAAAAATCTGATGCTTAGGAAATACTTCTGTTCTTAAGCAACCTGGAATCATAGAGCAACAATTGATGGGAGGCACACAGGTAAATAAATTAAAAGCCTACTTCATATACTTCTTTGTCAATAGATTGGAAAGTCACTCATATTGAATGCTCACCTAGCCCCATACAAGACAAGTAATAAAACTAAAACAGATGCTGCTTTCTCAACTTCGTTAATAACAGGCAGTAACCACTTCTATGGGAAAAGGGATTCCTGCTCTACTGGGAACACAGCCAAGGCACTAGCACACTTCATGTGCACATACACAAGATGTATGGCAGCTGCTGAGTTAGCAGCAATACACATATCTCTGCCCCATTTGGCTTCCTTCTACAGCCGGAGGTAGAAACTGGCAGTGAGAAAGAAGGGAACTCTGATCTTTGTCTTCTCTTTATTTTTTTTCTGAGGATGAAGATTGTCAGTGGACTGCTGCTAGGAGAGGGCTGCAAAAAAGGATTGGCAAAATAAGCCAGCAAGTGAAGGTCACCAGGAAGCGGGAGCAGCAGTGCAGAAAATAGATGGTGACTATGGAACTGTCAGAAAGCTGGATCTGACAGAAAACAGAATACAGCCAGGTCTGTGGAGATTGAGGGGAGAGGGAAAAGGCATAGAGGTGGTATATTTAGATCAGTTACTTTGTGAGGCTGGAGCAGATTATACATTCTTGCATACGGTCACACGCATGTAAAATAGTTCACCTTCTGTGTGTCTCCTTCCACCAATGACACTTTTGGAGATCCTATGGAGGATACCAATAAGAGTGCTACATCTGGTTATGTGCGATGCAGTTTCCAAATCTGCCCAGTCAAAAAACTCATTCAGTTTCATAGAATCAAAGAGTTGGAAGAGACCTCATGGGCCATCCAGTCCAACCCCCTGCCAAGAAGCAGGAATATTGCATTCAAATCACCCCTGACAGCTGGCCATCCAGCCTCTGTTTAAAAGCTTCCAAAGAAGGAGCCTCTACCACACTCCGGGGCAGAGAGTTCCACTGGTAAACAGCTCTCACAATCAGGAAGTTCTTCCTCATGTTCAGATGGAATCTCCTTTCTTGTAGTTTGAAGCCATTGTTTCGCATCCTAGTCTCCAGGGAAGCAGAAAACAAGCTTGCTCCCTCCTCCCTGTGGCTTTCTTTCACATATTTATACATGGCTATCATATCTCTTCTCAGCCTTCTCTTTTTTGAAATCGTGCACTCTCCCTAGGAGTAATCACCACTGAACAGAAAAAATACTACTGACCAAGTCTGCACATAATTGCATGGTCAATTGATATTTTAAAAATCCCAGCATGCATTCACTCTCTCTCACACACACCACAGACAAATTATCTTTTCTAGCAATGATATGAGAGCCATTTTCTCATCTAAATTTGGGTGAATTCCTAATACAGGGATAAGCTAAAGTACAGTAGTGCCTACATAAGTTAGCAAACTAATGGAGCACAACCCCTTGGACTAAAGCCTACTTAGTGTTAACGGGAGTGGACATAACTATTTAATTAACACTGGCTTCAGTGGGTTGACTCTCACTGGGATGCATACTAGATTTAGCTTGAATTATTTAGTAACCACCATTAGAATTCTCCTCCCCTCTAGTAGATGATTTGAATTTCTGCTCAAGAGTAACTTAAGGGCCCTTCCACACTGCCCTTTATCCAAAGAACTGATCCCAGATTATCTACTTTAAACTGGAATATACAGATAACCTGGGATCATATCCTGGGATACAGGGGCAGTGTGGAAGGGCCCACAGATGCAAGAATGGGAATGTATATGCAATTATCCCAGTGCATGACTGATGTATACCAGACATAGCAACCCATCTCAGAGTTCAAATAATATATATAAAAATACAAAGCAAATGCCCATGCTTCAAGTCTTTCCATGTCTGAACTAGGTCTAGCTGTTTGGCCTGTATGGAAATCTTAACTATCCAGACTCCAAAGTTTTGTTGCATGTCTAACTTCAAACACACAAATCACGCTCTAACGCAGATACCTGCAATCTAGGTCCTGCCTTGAACAAGTTGCAAAAGTCAAACTGCTCCAGAAATGAATATCCAACCTCTGGAAGAGATATAGTGATGTATGCAAAGGACAGTTATCTCATTCAGCAACTTATGCAAACCTGCTGCCACCTGGTGGTCAACAGCTTCCTAAACAGCAGTTAACCCAACCCCATTCCTGTCTGTTCAAATCCATGTGCTTTGTTTACAATAATTTATTTTGAGTGCAGGACATTCAACAAACTGGCAGATAGACAAGGAGGAGCTGTGGTACCAATCTATAAGAGAAGCTGGAGGAAGATTTAGAGCTCTTTTGTAGCATCTGATTGATAATAAAGGTCTGGGTTTTAGCATGACTTGGATGCTATACTTGATACTGGTCCAAGTACATGTAAATCTGGCTCCTGTGTATTCTGTGTTATTGGATACATTTTAACTTATGCTGCCTGAAAATGTAGACAGGATCTTTAGAGATGTGACACATGTGTACTGAACCTCTTTATGAGCTTATTGTGACAAGGCAGGTAGCCACCTTCCCAAAATAAACTGAAGTACATTGTAGAATAACACAAACACAACAACCTGAACTTTATCATGCTGGAGAATTGTTCTCCAGCTTCCAACATCCCTTTTTGACAAGATTCTGGAGATTCAGACAGCACAGAAAAGTATTTGGGAGAACAACAATTTGTGATAGAAGTAAGGATGGAATTGAGGTTTGATTTCTTGTGAACAGGGTTGTTAAAAAAGAACTACAGAAACCCAGATACATGTTCTAGTAACAGCCTTCTCTTGTTCAAGGTGGATTTTTTGTCCACTGCTCAATATCTGACCACCATCTCACCTGGCACTGCTGTGGACCACAGCTTACAGCAATCACTTCAGAGACAAGCTTCTTCTCCTTGAGACGAACAGCCTCCTCCACAGCGATCTCGCAGAAAGGGTTCATGGAATGTTTCACCCCATCCGTCACCACACCCGTCTTGTCTGGCTTCACCCGCACCTGCAAGAGCAGTAGTCTGTGAGGAAAAGAGTCCAGGAAAATTCAGAACTGGGGAATGTCCTCTTACAGTCAATATCTAGTCTTCTTTTGGGGACAGCAATCTAGTAACTGAGCACAGCATCAAAAGCACATAGGTCTTAATCCACTAATCTCAGTCCCTACTTGAACACATCCACTGAATCAGTGGGAATCACAGGAATGTTTATTTTCCACTCAGGGAATGTTTAAATGGATCTACTCTTGTTCAAACTAACTATTGGATCTGGCCATTATCAGCCCGAAAGTACGGGTACATTAGTAGACACACTTCAGTAGAGAAGAGGACTAATAACTCAGGTTATACCTTGTTTTTTGGTTTCATGTAATTTCTTATAACACCCCTAAAGTAAACCAAGAAATAGGGTTTTCTTTGTTCAAAGAGGGTTTCCCCTTTGCCTTCGTCTGAGAGTGTGAGTTACCCAAACTACTCAGTGCATTTCCATTGCTAGGGATTCAGTCCAATGACTATGTAGAGTTGGGGCCCAATGTTTAAGAAGCAGTGATCTACTGTAAGGACGTACACATGGCTATTAATTTGATTAGAATTCTGTCCTTTTCCCTGCTCATGCTTTATTGCATCACTACAAACACATTTCTGCTACTCAAAAAGTTTGGGTTGTTGATGCTGCAAAAAAAAAAACAACAAACAAACTCCTAAACAAAAGATACGGACAGAAGAAGGGTTGCAGAAGCACAAAAATACTGTAATATGAAGCTTCTATCTCAGAGGTTAGATTATTTGAGGAATAGCCACATTAAACTAATGATTAATGGTCTGCTCCATGCAAGACAATCTTTTTGAGATGGTAATCATCAACTCCTACCATCTAGACTTCTTTGAGGTTTATGGGTTAAAGGGCAGGGTGGAAGCTGTTTGCACAAGGAAGAGCCAAGATTAAATGCTGTCTTCAGTAGCAACTGCAATCTGAAAGAATGAACATGCTATATCATAGCCTATGATAACAGGGCAGTACAGAAAGGTACATATAGCTGATTGGACAATTTTTACCAAACAAACAAAATGGATTCCAACAGGGGTAAATATAAGATGCTATATTTAGACAGGGAAAAAATGAAACATGTAAACATATTTATTTATTTTGCATATTTGTATCCCGTCCTTCTCACCCCCCGAGGAGGACTCACAGTGGCTTCACAACAAGAATTCATTCAATGCCAACAACAGTAATAAATGATTAAAAACAATTAAAACAATTAGTTAATGTTTTAAAATTACTAAAACGTTGCTTAAACAACACAGATTTGAAATCATAGTCCAGGTCAGTCCATTGTCATTGACACAAATTGGGTCTCATTCTAAATTGTTGCCTTGAATAGCTTGGTCCCATATCCAGGTTTTGATTATATGAGTCTATACTGCCATATAATCAAGTTCATAGCAGATATTCTGGTTTTTATATGGTAGTGTAAAAGGGGCCTAAGCTAATCGAGGACAGGTCTGCTTAGTACTTGAGAGGAAGAGCAACAAGAAAAACCAGCTGCTCGTTAGTTTGTTTGTATGTAGGTGACTTACGAAAGCTGAGAGGCACAACCCGGGGATCGCAACCAGATACAGTGAAGACATCTGTCCTTGCATTTTGCTACTCTGTGCTAAATATGTATGCCCAGTGTGGAACACATCTCACCATGTTAAAACAGTGGATGTGGCTCTTAATGAGACACAGGACATCACAGGATGTCTACACCCCACAACACTGGAGAAATTATACTGTTTAGCTAGTATTGCGCCACCTGACATCCACTGGGAAGTAGCAGCAAATAATGAAAGGACCAAGACATTGACATCTTTGGCCCATCCCCTGTTCAGATATCAGTCAGCATGCCAATGGCTTAAATCAAGAAACAGCTTCCTAAGATCAAGAGAGATACGCGCAGGAACACCTCAGCAAAAGAGATGTGGATTGTGTGGAAGGGGTCTGAGAGGTCTTCAGATAGGGTCTCAGAAACACTCTTAAACCTGGAGAGCCGCCGCCAGGCAGAGTTGACAATCATTGAGCCAGATGGAACTGGATCTGGCTTGGTAACGCAAAAGAGACAATTTCTTTTCCTAATGTTCATGTGTCTTTATGTTGGTTTATAGGGTCCACCTAGGATTTCCTTAAGCAAGGAATACTCAAGGGCCCCTTCTACATTGCCATATAAAATCCAGATTATCTGATTTAAACTGGATTATATGGCAGTGTAAACTCAGATGATTCAGTTCAAAGCAGGTAATGTGGATTATATGGAAGTGTAGAAGGGGCCAACAAATGTTTTCTGTAAAAAATAGCCTACAGCACTGTATCTGAAACTGATCTTGACCGCAAGTGGGGTTCCCTTTGCTCAATGTTGGAGTCACAAAAGTTTTAATAATAAAAGGTTTCTGGACACCACCCATTTACGCAACGCAATCACATACCACATTTACAGTGGAATCTGCAGTAAAGGATTCAGATGTACTCCACAAAAATAGAAAAACATCCTGTTTAGCAAGTCTTGCAAATGCTGATTTATCATCAGTAAAAATGTTTGTTCTTTATACAGTAGAGTCTTGCTTATCCAACCTTTACTCATCCAATGTCCTGTATTATCCAATGCAATCTGTCTCCTGCCCAGATCCACAGCTCTTTCAATACATTGCAATATTTTGGGGCTAAATTAATAAACACAGTAATTATCATGTATTGAACTGCTTTTTTCTGACAATTTGTTGTAAAACATGCTTTGGTGCTTAATTTGTAAAATTATAATGTAATTTGATATTTAATAGGCTTTTCCTTAATCCCTCCTTATTATCCAACATTGTTGCTTATCCAACATTCTGCCAGCCTGTTTATGTTGGATAAGCGAGACTCTACTGTACCTATATACTTGGCATATGGGTGTATTCTTGAAGGGAAAGGGGTTGCGAGTGGAAAATGTTTAACAAGCCTTGGCCTACAGAAGCTGTTTTTCTTTTTTTCTTTTTTGTTTTTCACTCTAAAGGATAAGAGGTAGGGGCCAACCTAATGTCACTGGGTAGAAAATTCCACAGGAAAGGGGCCACCACTGAGAGAGCCCTGTGTCTCATCTCCACCAGTCGCGTTTGCAAGAATGGTGGGACCAAGAGCAAGGCCTCTCCTGTCGATCTTAAGAGTTCCTGGGCACACAGAAAATTGGGTGAGCTGGCATGCGCTAAACAGGCTGCGCTTTGGCAGCATGAGATTCAGAGCTAACCTTAAGAAGCAGGGCCACAAAGTGGAGTCCACAGCATGCGAATGCAAAGAAGAGCAAACCCCAGACCACCTACTACAATGCAACCCGAGCCCTGCCACATACACAATGGAGAACCTTCTCACAGTGGCACCAGGGGCACTACAAGTGGCCAGCTTCTGGTCAAAAGACATTTAACATAATGCCAAGTTTTAAAAACTTTTTCTTTTTAAATGCATTTCAACTTGCTTCTGAAATGATAAAGAAATAAGCATAGAGTTGTTGTGACTTTTTTGGACTTTATGACCATGTCCCAGAAGCATTCTCTCCTGACTCCAAAATCAGGACAGTAAATGGTGATAGTATGATAGCTGGGTCCAGAAACTCCAAGCGTTACGCACATTCTGCAATGGCGGTTGTGAATAAGGGAAGGGAAGAGTGGCACACTGAGGGTGGGAATATACTTGGAGTTGCATTTGGTGGAAGGATAGAAAGGAGGGAAGGGTTAGGATACGGCTTAGGGTAAGTGTTAGGATTAGGGTTAGGTTTAGGGTTTGGATTAGAATTAGGGTTAGGATTAGGTTTAAGGCTAGGGTAAGTGTTAGAGTTTTACCATTAAAGGACTCTTACATTCCTTCTATAATATCTATGTTCCGTTCTGTGTTGCGCAAACAGTGCTCCCGAAGGAGCGAAGCGGAAACAGCGTAATGCTCAGAGCTTCTGGGTACAGCTTTTATACTATTACCCAGTAAATGATATTAACCGTAGTCACTTACGGATGTGAGAGCTGGTCTATAGGGAAGGCTGAACGAAGAAAGATGGATGCTTTTGAACTGTGGTGCTGGAGGAAAGTTCTGAGAGTGCCTTGGACCATGAGAAGATTCAACCAGTCCATACTTCAGGAAACAAAACCCGACTGCTCATTGGAGTGAAGGATATTAGAGGCAAAGATGAAGTACTTTGGCCACATCATGAGAAGAAAGGAAAGCTTAGAGAAGACAATGATGCTGGGGGAAAAGGAAGGAAAAAGGAAGAGGGGCCGACCAAGGGCACGATGGATGGATGGTATCTTTGAAGTGACTGGATTGACCTTGAAGGAGCTGGGGGTGGTGATGGCCAACAGGGAGCTCTGGCGTGGACTGGTCCATGAGGTCACGAAGAGTCGGAAACAACTGAACGAATGAACAACAATACAGTAAATAAAGAACAACATTCAAAAACTGGGGAATTCCAGACAAGAAACCATCAGAGCCAGCTAATCATCTCTCAACAAAGGATTCCCACAGGCAGTAAGTAGCCAGACTTTGAAACTGCTGGGCCATTCAATGCTAATCAAGGTGGCCAATTGCAACATTCACACCTACCTCAAACAAACAAGAGTTCTTTCTCCCACCCTGGACATTCCACAGATATATACACCCCATTTTCCTAGTTTCCAACAGACCTCACAACCTTTAAGGATGCCTGCCATAGATGCAGGCGAAACGTCAGGCGAGAATGCTACTGGAACGAAAAGCCTGCTGTTGAGATGAAACTGGAATGGAAGTGCCATATTTTGAAAGGAAAGTTTTTAAGGTAATGGTAATATTCATGATAATTATAATAATATACAATATATAATAGGCACCCCCCCCCCTCCAAAAAGTAAAGAAATTCCCCGCGCGCACCTTCACAGCGTAGTCAATGACTCGCTTCACTCCCACCATGGCCCTCATCCCGGCCGCCGCCATCTTGCCCCTCTCTCTGTGTCTCATTCACCTTCTCCCCTCGGCGGAGCGCGCATCTCCCCGCCCACTACACAAGCTCAGCCAATAGGAAGAGAATACACAGCGGAATGGGCGGGGCGACGTCCTTGGATATGAGCGCGTGCTCCCCCGCAGCACCCAATCACGAGCCGGGCTCGTATTTCTCTACAGCCAATCGGGCAACTCGAGAGAAAAGGTGGCGTTGAGTTGCTGATTGACGTGTCGCCTTAGCCACTCCTCGCATCGCAAGTAGGCGCTGAAGTGGGAGGAAAGGAGAAAGAAATGCAAATTTCATACACTCTGGGCCAATCAATATTCAGCATCCTTGCGACACGCCCCCTCCCCGTCCTTTGCCCGTAAGGAGCCAATAGGAGTTCAGCAGTTTCCCCTCCTCCCTGCAGCGGGGAGAAACAGGAATGTAGGTGAAAGGGTAAGAAGCGTGACACACGTGTGCGTCTTCAGACGTTTAGAAGCGTGCAAATAGGTCAGTTGAAATGTTAACACAAAAATAATATTTATAATTGCAATATAATATATTGTATATGCATATACATATATTTATAATATTATAATGAAATACAATATAATACTACTAATAATATGATATTATAATTATATATTTTATAGTACATTTAATATTACTAATAATATTACAATATAATGGTATAGTACAATATAGTAATATATAATACTGATATTGTACTATGCTAATATAATATATTGTATGTGTACATATATCTTGTAAGCAGCTCTGAGTCCTTCGGGGTGAGAAGGACGGCATAGAAATGTCGTAAATAAATAAATTGTATTACATATTATAATGTATAAACATTTATTATTATATTTGGTGAAACTGTCATATCAAAACTAGAATTAAATAAAAGTTATGAAACTACTATTTTATTTGTGGGAGAAAATTTTAAAAGATTCTTATTTCAATCCAGATCAGTTTGGTTTTTCTTTGTGTGCACAAGGTCTGAATCTGCGGCCTTTTCTACACTGCCATATAATCCAGATTATCAAAGCAGGTAAACCGCATTCTCTGCTTTGTACTGGATTGTATGATTCTACACTGCCATATGATCAATTTCAAAATAGATAATCTGGATTTTATATGGCCGTGCAGAAAGGGCCCCACACTGCCCTATATCCCAGTGCCCAATCAACATTGACATTAGAATTCGGAATAAACTGAATTATATAGCAGTGTAGACTCATAAAAGTTCAAAGCAATTATATCCAAAGCCCTATCTCCAAGAATATCAAAGTTCAAAGCAATTGAAGTTCAATTGAAGTATCAAGAGAGAAAAATCCCACAATATCTACTTTGAACTGGGTTATCTGAGTCCACACACAGATAATGTGGGATTTCCTCCCTTGATATTCTGAGATATAGGGCTATGTGGGTCTAAGGCCCTTCTACACAGCTGTAAAAAATTTCAGATTATTTTATTTGAACTGGATTATCTGGCAGTGTAGACTCAGATAATCCAGTTCAAAGCAGATGTTGAAAGTCTGTCTTGATAGGGTTGTTTTAGGTATTTCACAACCTCTGAGTATGATTGCCATAGATGCAGGCGAAACATCAGGAGAGAATGCTTCTAGAACATGGCCATACAGCCCGAGAAACCTATAACAACCCAGTGATTCCAGCCATGAAAGCCTCCAACAATACATTGAACTGATTTTCTGCCTTGATATTCTGGATTATATAGCTGTGTGGAAGGGCCCTGAGTCTACAGTGCTCTCTGGATGTAGGTGAACTACAACTCCAAAATCTAAGGTCAATACCCACCAAACCCTTCCAGTATTTTCTATTGGTTATGGGAGTTCTGTATGCCAAGTTTGGTTCTATTCTATCGTTGGTGGAGTTAGGAATGCTCTTTGATTGTAGGTTAACTATAAATGACAGCAACTACAATTCCCAAATGGCAAAATTAACCCCACCAGTATTCAAATTTGGGTGTATTGGGTATTTGTGCCAAATTTGGTCCAGTGAACGAAAATACATCCTGCATATCAGATATTCACATTACGATTCACAACAGTAGCAAAATTAGTTATGATGTAGCAATGAAAATAATTTTATGGTTGGGGGTCACCACAACATGAGGAACTGTATTAAGGGGCTGTGGCATTAGGAGGCTTGGGAACCACTGATTTAACACTTCCAACAAAGAATTCCCCCAGGCAGCAACCAGACAGGCTCTGAAACTGCAGTGTCATTAAATGCTAATAAAAGTGGCCAATTGCAACAAGACAAGCAGACAAGAGTTCTTTCTTCCACTCTGGACTTTCCACAGATATATAAACCTTACTTGCCTAGTTTCCAATAGACCTCACAACCTCTGAGGATGCTTGCCTTAGATGCAGGTGAAACGTCAGGAGAAAATGCTTCTAGAACATGGCCATATAGCCCAAAAAATGTACAACAACTCAGTGATTCCAGCCATGAAAGCCTTCGACAATACTCTGCCTTGATATTCTGGAATATATGGCAGAGTAGAAAGGTCCATGGAGATTGCTAGAAAACCCAGAAAAGTCTAGAGAGCTGTTCCCTCAAGGTTTTTGAAAAACTACAAACAATTTCTTCATTTGTGTTTTTTTTTTCACTTCCATGAAAGTCCTGTTCCCTTAACTCCAGTGAATGTGGAGAGTTGACTGTTGGGTAATGGCATTTTAAATTATTTTAATTGTAAGCATTTGTAACAAGTGAATGGTCTGCTTTGTAGTCCAAAACATCTGGGTTTGAAAAATGCATTGGAGACAACTGAGTGAATCCATAAGTACAAAAGACCACATGCTGAGTACACTAAAGGGGTTTATTTAGGGGGCGACAAAACAAAGAGTAGAGAAACATCATGCCAGACATCAAGGGAAAGTTCAGTTGCATAGCGCACTGCCTCGCTCAACAAGAACACTTCTTGCTTTCCGGGCCAGGATTAACATCTTCTCAACCATTCGGACTGGAGCAAGCTGAATGTGTCACCCAACATGGGGACGTACACATATCTTCAAGCCTGGATTAATGTTTGAAGTTTGTGGCAACCTGAAGTAAAACACTGTGTCAAAGCTGAGTGTGTTTTCTCCTAGTTCCCCAAACCTGGTCCTTTGGGCATCGGGTGGGCACAGGTCCAGCCAGCTATTTTTGTCACTTCGTGTACATAGACTAATCCCTGAGTCATCCAGTTGTGTCAGATTCTGGCTATCTTTTCCTCTGGGCGCCTTCAGAAGCAATCCGAGCCATGCAGTCCTCTTGCAGCGTAAAGACCATTGTGGTCCCAAGAAGGGTTTGGGCCAATTCCTCCTCTTCCCAATTCTTTGCCACAAAGTGGCAAACGCCTGCAAGACAAAAGAGGTGCATTTCAGCTGCCTGCTGAGAGTCCTAGACAAATAAACTACCTTTGGGACTACAGTGCCCAGCACTTTCAATGCTAACTGGGGAACCTGAGAGTGGTGGCATCCAAAAGTAACTTTCCAAAGTTCTGCTGCTCCTACTCACTACCAATCTCTCTGCTAAAACTTCCTCTAGTACTTCTCTGGGTATCAGATCCTCCAATTTTTGAATTGAGGAGCCTAAGATTGTGGAAAAGGTGGCCACCTTCTTGAATGTTTTTCCATGCTCACTTGGTGCATGCATTACTGCAGCATTTCTCAATCTGGGGGTGGGGGTACTGGGGGGGTCGTGAGGGAGTGTCAGAGGGATTGCCAGAGACCATCAGAAAACACAGTATTTTCTGTTGGTTTATTTATTTATCACTAGCTGTTCCCTGCCACGCGTTGCTGTGACCCAATTTGGTGATCTGGAAAATAAAGTAATGACAAAGTGTTGGTTTCTAATATATGTAACTTCTTTATGCTTGTGGGTAAACAGTACTTCTTGTTATTTCTTTATCAGTGTTGATGTAGAGATTGTCTGGTTTGCTTACTCTGGAACAGGGAACATATTATTGTTCTTTAGGGGTTCCTTTCAAATCTATGATATTATATCTGTCATATACATGTGTGTGTGTGTATGTGTGTGAATATTATATATCTATCTATATACATATATAGCTGGACAGATCTTTGTCAGGAGGGCTTTGATTATGTTTTCTTGCCCTGTTGAAAGGAGTTGGACCGGATTGCTTAAGGCAGCATTTCTCAACCTGGGGTTGGAACTCCTGAGGGATGGTGTCAGGAGATTTAGCCCAATTCTATTGTTGGTGGGATTCAGAATGCTCTTTGATTATAGGTGAACTATAAATCCCTGCAACTCCCAAATGTCAAGATCTCTTTCCCCCAAACACCATCTGTGTTCATATTTGGGCATACTGAGTATTCGTGCCAAGTTTGATCTAGATCCTTCATTGTTTGATTCCACAGTGCTTTCTGGATGTAGGTGAACTACAACTCCAAATCTCAAGGTCAATGCATACCAAACCCTTCTAGAGTTTTTTTTTGTCATGGGAGTCCTGTGTGCCATGTTTGGTTCAATTCCATCACTGGTGGGGTTCAGAATGCTCTTTGATTGTATGTGAACTATATATCCCCACAACTGCAACTCCCAAATGACAATATCATTTTTCGTTAGTGATGGTCACTCATTGGGTTGTTAGGTGTATTCTGTCCAAATTTGGTGTCAATTTATCCAGAGGTTTTTGAGTTATGTTAATCCCACAAACGAACATTATATTTTTATTTATAGAGATGTCAGGACCGAACCAAACAGTTGTATTGCATTAAAAACAAACAAACAAAACACAAAGTTTGCAAACTTGGTATTCTATTAAATATCCTTCGACCATTTTGTGTTGGTCATGGGGGTTCTGTGTGGGAAGTTTGGTCCAATTCTATCATTGGTGGGGGTTCAGAATGCTCCTTGATTGTAGGTGAACTATAAATCCCAGCAACTGCAACTCCCAAATGTCAAGGTCTATTTTCCCCAAACTACACCAGTCTTCACATTTGCCCCTATTGAGTATTTATGCCGTGTTTGGTCCAGATCCATAATTGTTTGAGTCCACAGTGCTCTCTGGATGTAGGTGAACTACA